TTAGGTCAAGTAGTTTTTTGATGGAGTCTGTAGGGTTTTCGTGTACACTGTCATGTCATTTGCAAACAATGAGTTTTCCTTCCTTCTTTCCAATTTTGATGCCTTTTATTTCTTTTTCTCATCTGATCACTGTGACCAGGTCTTTGAATAGTATGGTAAATAGAAGTGGTTGGATATGTGTGACTAGACATCAGGGGAAGGGTCCAAGCTTCAATCAGCCTGTTATCGTGGTTGGGAGAGTGGATGAGATCAGCAAGCAAATGATTGTAGAGACAGAAGGGAGCAAGTCTAAGATTTGAGCCTGGCATATTCCAATGTTTGAAGCTAGAAAAACTCATAGGAAACAGCAAACAGAGGAGTGGCCAATGAAGTGGGAGGACTAATATTCTGGGGGCCAACTGAAAAAGTGTTTCAAGAAGGAACTGATTAACTATGGTAATTACAGCCAATGTTGTGAAGGGTAGAAAGTACGGTTCAAGACAGGGACCAAACAATCATCAATCAAGAAGAGCCAAACAGCGTTCATTGCATGTGGGAACCATCCTTATAATTTAGCATGAAGGTTGAACAGAAAACTAGCATTACACCTGAGGAAAAGGTGCTACCTCAAGAATAAGCTTTATAGAATATTTTGTGCCCTCCACTTCCCTGCATTGCTAGCTAATAAGACCATATAAAAAGAACCCTTTAAAGTGAGACCTTTCAATGGCTCATTCCACTTAAGAAAGTCAAGAAAATTATAGAAGCAAACCATCAGTCAAAGAAAACCTATTCAATCCTAACAAATTAGAGACCTTGGGAAGTGTGTTTCAAAGTACATATAAATTTTGTCTTTACTCCTACTTCCTAAGATCTGGTAAGCTAAGTAAAGAGAAAGAATGGCTCAAGTGATGTATTTGAAAATAAAATACTCTGATGTATCTTGTTAAGCAGTGATTGATGGGACAATGACATGACACTGTGTTACGTGTGCCTCTTAAGTCATTCCTTGCTCTAATTTCATTCTGCCCATACATCACTTATAGTACTGTTGGCCATTATAGAATCTTGAAATTGATAGCAAAATTGGAAACATCTTCAAAAGAAAAAATGCAGTCTGAGGCTAACATTAACCACAGTCCACCTCCCTCCATGTGCTTCCTCATCATGATTCAAATCCCCTGACCCCGTAAAAACAATCAATTATAAAGGCAAAGAAAAGCACTTCTGCCCTATAAACACCAATTTTATCTGCATTGGAACATAGATCAAAGCGGGCTGTTGTTAAGTGCTCAGAAGGCAGTGGAACAGCTTTTCATGGGCCTAATGGCTTTGCTGACTGCCTAACTCTGGACTACTTACAGGACACGGATGCAGCCTCTGTCGGCAAATCAGAATGGACTGAGTATGAGATGCAACCTATCGGCAGTTTATTAAAAAGTCTTTCAGAAAGATTTTCTTATATGGGTCTTAACGAGATAAAAGAAAAGAGGGTGCAAACAGGAAAATGAAAGATACCAATTAAAGTGTCTTAATAGAGAGCTTTGAAAGGTACAAGGTGGTATGGGTGTTACTACCTATTAGTATTTAATGTGCCTGTTAAATGAGATTATTCACCAAATTTCTACAAAAATAATACTCTGCCTCATGCTGGCAGATCCAGCCTGAAGCACTGGGTTCCATCTCAAATGACATATTTAAAAAAAATACCAATTAGAGAGAGCCCAAAAGTATACTGAAAACCATAATGAGCCCAGGAACTGTATCGGAAGAGGAACCACTGGGAGACATGGAGAAAATGGTTAAGACTCTCAGAACATGTCAGAGAAGCTGTTATGGGAAAAGTACTGGCTTAGACAGCAGCAGACTTTCCCATTACAGCTGGGCAAGTCACCTCGGGCTAGTAAATAATCTCTCTACAACTCAGGTGCAGTCTGAAGTCAACCTAAATGACCTTAAGTTCCTTTACATTGTACAATTTTATCATTTCAAAGTCGAGCATTAGTGAGACTATGCTGGTTACAGTAGACACCTACGCTTTGCTGAAATGAATCATTCCAAGGAGCTGCCAAAGAATAGGTAAAAATTATACTACATAAAAAATTCATCTCAGTAGAAGAGGTTTTAACAATTAAAATTGTACAATAATAAAACCAGTTGTCTCAAAAATAGTGAGATAATTGTTAATGGAAATATATACAGGCACATGCTAAAAACTATATGACTGGCAGTCTCTTCCTATGAGATCCTATGATACTTTAGGTCCAATTTACCAAATACCTTGCCTCGGGTTACCTTCGGTATTACTCACTGATGTAAATCAGTTGTTCCAGGATTTCATACCTTTGTTGTAATGTGGGAATTTAGTCCATCTCTATGTTAAGTCACCATCGTGCTTTTCCAGCTTCATGGATCTGGTTTCTGGCTCTTGTCTATGTTGGATGGGCTCCCTTTTATTATCCTCAACATTATTATTTGGTATATGTCTTGGGGAAGCTTTTAGAAATTGCTTTAAAGGCTATTATAACCTTATATTACCAATGGTGTTACAATGATATGGATGAAATGGATGATATGACCTGCTCTCTCAACAAGTGTCAAGCAGGGTTTATGTAGTATGTCATTGAATCACCCTATACGGAATCTGTTATTATTGTACTCTTTTTACAAATAAGGAAACTCAGACTCAGAGGAGTAAGTGCCTTGCCCAAGGTAACTGAGGTAGTAAGAAGCAAAATCTGGACTTCAACTCTGGTCTGGCTAATGCCTCTAAAAAGCCCACTCTTAACTACTCTTAACAACCATGCTCAACTGTAATAGTGTGCAAAGTATTGTCCCTGGACTAGCAGCTTCAGCATCGCTTGGGAACTTGCTAAAAATGCAAAGTCTCACAACCACTGAATCACAAACTCTGGGGGTGGAGCCCAGCAATCGTGATTTCACAAATCCTCCAGATGATTCCGATGCTTGAGAACTACTAGAGTTTGAGAACCACTGCTCTACTGAACTAAAAATTTGCCTAGAAAGCCACAGGCTACCTATTTAACTACACTTTTTATATTTGAATTTGAAAGTGTGTGGTAGCTCCTCAATCTTTCTTCGAGGGGAGAAAGATGAAGCAGGTATGGAAAAGCCAGGTTTCCTGCCTTTTCCCTAAAAGAGAAAGGCTGGCTCCTTGCCATTCTTGGTAAGGAGGTAAGAGAGCTGCTGCTTTAAAACATGAATAAGAGGGAAACAAGACACAAAGAAAAATGCTTTTTGCAGTACAGCTAAGCTGTCATGGTTAGACATAATGAGTGAATAGACTCCGAAGATCCTGAAGTTCCCCCGGAGTCTTTATACAATAAATATTAATTGTCTACTTAAAACAGTGAAAATAAAACTCCTTCTTACATATGTACTTTTTTTAAAAAAGGATATGTACATCTTAGCCTTATGAACACATCAACTGAGAGAGTGTTTCAGAAGTAGAATAATCAGTGGCAGCTGTCATCAGCTTTCTTCGGTTTAAAAAATAAGTCTTTTTAGCTTTGCAGCTCATGCTGCCTAGAATGTGACCTTGGTCTTTTTCAAGCTTATCTTTAGTCCATAGAACCATGCACCTCTGTGAATCAGCCTATAATCTCTTTATTATCTCTCTGCACGTGCATTTTTAAAGCTGTCATAAGCATATAAGCCATCCTCCACTTCAAGGTCTCTGGAGATACTTGTGGCCAATCAGGTACAAGGACTTTCAGAAGGTCACAGCAGGGGTGGGGCATATGGTGTCGATTAGGAGTGGTATGTAAATCCTGCTTAGAACAGGCTGATTTCTCCATACCTGCAGGCTGTCAGAAGGAAGGCACCAAGTGCCTTTTTGAGTTCTAGAGAAATGAAGAACAGAAACCGTCTTTGCACATACTTGGCCATAGCGGATCTCACTCATACTCCACCACACCAAAGGTAAAATGCGCACATTTCACCTGCAAGCCTCAACTAAATGATTCAGTTCCTGGACCGGAATAATACATGATTTACGTTATTATCCAAGATTGCTCTTGGGTGTCTGGATCTGCAGTTGATGTTTTATTACATCCCCTTTGTCTTCCCTCCTTCCAGAAAGAATTGTGGGGAAGCAATAAACTAATAGGTAACAGTCAGCATTCATTCTCATAAGACAGTGACTATGTGGACCTCACTAACCCCGCTCCTCCCAGCATGTCTATGTGTGGCCCGCCGACATCTACCAGCACTCAGGAACGTGGGAAACCAGAGGATTGAGACAGGCCATCGTAACAGGTCTATCCTCTATTAGTGAAACTCTTATTTCAACCTTATGCTCCTTAACTTTACAGAAAGAAACACAGAAGATTAAAAAAAAAAACTCAAGTAATAGACACTGAAAATAATAGTGATTCATCATGCAAAAAAAAAAAAGACACTGAAAATAATAGTGATTCATCATGTAAAAAAAAGGATAAGTTATACTAACTAAAATTAAGTGCAACCTATAACAATGATTTTTTCCTTTATTCATTCATTCATTCAATATTAATGGAGCAAAACATATGCTAGACAGTAACTAAAAAATACCAACCAGCTCCACATGTTCTCCTCAATCGGTACCCCCCCACCCCTGCCCAACAGGGCAGTTTGGCTAAACTGCCAAACACAAGGAAATGGACTGAAATTAAAAGCACAATATATCTTGATCGGCATGAGTAAAAACACTAGGTATTTATTCAATTACTGGAGAACACTTCCAAAGACTTGAATAAGCAACAGTGAGCAATGCTAAGTCCTGAGTAATCTGCTCAAGTAGCTCTCCGCCCAGAAGGAGTAGTTAAGACCTCTTGAGATCTTTTCCATCTCTGATTTGTAATTTCATTCATGGTCAGAGGCTGAATACCAATTGATACCTGCCAAATGTCTTCTCTAACCTATGTAACCAGGGCACTAAAATTCCATTTAATAACAAACCAATATATATCAACAACTTTACTGAACATGAAGTAATACTTAATGGTCAAAGTGTAACTTACCCTTGCCATATCCACCAAGAAGTTCTCAAATAATTTCCAAATGTGGTTACTTGTGTAAATTTCTTTCATTTCCACTTCAGTGTCGACGTAACAGTGATTAACAAAATTCACATAAGCAATTTTAACCTGTACAAGTTTCAAATACCAAAGAAAGTGAGTTTTCTTCATTGTTCATTTTCAGATCGCAATTATGAAAAGTTAAATAAAATCTGTATTAGTTCCAATGGTAGATTACAGTACATTCTGTGTCTGCCCAGGAAGCATTCCCACCTCCCTTCTTTTACTAAGTACAAGCTGTCCCCTGGCCCGTCATGGGGAAACACGTGACCTCCTATTCCATTCCCCTGGGCCCAGGGGTTGGTGTGAGAATGTCTTCTCACTTAGACCAAGTCTATTTGAGGCGCTAGGAGTCGAAGCCGCTCCCTTTCCCTTTCTCCTGCCCTTCTCCTCCTTCCACACCCTTCCCTTCCCCTGCTCTCTCTGACCCCGCCATATTCTCGCTCTCCCCCTCCCTCCCCCATCTCTACCTCCCTGCTAAAGTGGGATGAGGTAAAACTGAACTCCAAGAAGCCATCGTCTCCCAGTGTGCAGAGGAAAAGCATGCTCAGAAAAAGAAAATAAGGCAAAACCACGATGAAAGAGGGAATCAAAGATGGAAAGAATTCTGGCATTCTCTGAATCCCTTAATCCGTCTAAACAACTATCCTTCAAATTCCCAAATACAGGAATTAATAGAATTCCTATATTTTTCAAATTTAAACTAATTTAAGCTGGGTTTCTGTCACTTGCAATGAAGAGAGTTCCAATGTCATGTTTAAATTTGTGGATTAAATAATACTTTATTTTCATTCAGAACTACTTAAATTACTATTGCTGAGGAAAAAAAAAGTTTACAGTTTACCAAAAATGTATTATTTTAAGATGTATTAAAATTCCTTTACAGATTAATTCCTCATAAATGACCAGGGAGAATCTTACCAACATGTAACATTTTTTTTAATGTGTAGGGCAATAGTTTGTTTTTCATTTTCTTCTTTTCTTTCTTTTTATTGAAAATATAATGACTGTTATAAATCTCCCCAGAAAATGTATATATATGGGGGACCCCAAAAAAGGAAGAAATTATCTTCTGGAGGGCGGGCCCCTTGTAGTACAGGCTTCCTCACTAGGTGAGTGTTCTAGGAACCCACCTGTACCAGTGTGCCAGCTGGTGCTATTGTGAGAGGCAGTGTTTAGCTTCAGTAAATTTTTCTGAAGACTCTTTCAACACATTTCCCCATTTCATGATGGGCGATTTATGAGCTCACCTGCCCACACCATGCTGAGTGTTCAGTAGTTTTTGACCAAAACCAGCATGACCCCTGCCCCACCCTCCCTATTCACCTGATCTTGCCCTGAGTGACTTTTTTGCTTGTTTGTTTCCCCAGATGGAAAAAGTCCTCAAAGGGAAACATTTTGCCGATGTGGAAGCAGTGAAACAAAAAAAGGCAGAAGCACTAAAAGGCATTAAAATCGCTGAGTTCAAAAACTATTTTGAGCAGTGGAAAAACATCTCAATGGGTGTATTGTATCAAATGGAGAGTACTTTAAAGGTGACTAAAGCTTAAACATGTAAGAATACATAATTTTTTATAAATAAATACCAGTTTTTTGGTCCCCCCTCTTATAGATGTATAAGAAATCATGTAAACAATTTTAGGGGATTCATAGGACCCAAGTTAGAACCACAGCAATACAGGGTCAGCTTTCATGGCTTGAGTACTTCTCATCTCCAGCTGACCGAGGTCTAAAGTGAGTGTTCAGTGACAGGGTACCTGTGTCAGGGACTGACCACAGGGCAGGGCGACATCAGAGCCATTCACTGCACTATCATAACCACCTTGACAGCCGCTAATATCGATTCATTGCTTGCTACATGTCAAACACCTTCAGCATTTTGTATGTAATATATTAACATAATCCTCCAACAATCCTATCATGTCCCTCCTCTAATTGTTTCACCTTAAAACCGTGGAAACTAAAGATTAGAAAGGTTATTAACCTGTTGAAGCCAGTCATGCTGCTAAAAAGCACTGGATCCCGGATGCTGACTCACTGTATACATCACTCATTCGTTCCAAACTCATTTACTAAGTGTGAGCTCAGGCTCAGGCAATGCAGGGGCGAGCAGACACAGACCTCGTTGGTTTTAGGCCCCAGCCGCTTCTAGACCTCAGTGTTTCTGCTCCTGAACCTCACCGAGCTTACAATCTTGGAAGAGGATGTGAGGGATACAGATATCTATTAACTAATAAAATTCAAACGCCAAACTTCAGATTATAGACTCTACTACTGGAGGCCAGGGAAGTCTTCCCAGAGGAAGTCATGCTTGAATGGAAAATCTGAAGGAAGAAGCAGAGTGACACAGCTGAATGTAGGAGGCATGAGTGGGGCAGCTGGAGAGAAGTGTGTGTGGAGAGAAGCCTGGACAGAGTCAAGACCCCAAATACAGACCCAAGGAGTCAATCACAACACTGTGCCTCCTCTCCGCCATCACATTTCAGACCAATCAGGGCGTGAAGTACCCCTGGTTTGAGATGTCAATAATTCTACAAAGCATACTATCAAGTCCATTACTACCTATACAACCTGGAAGGAGGAAAGTTACCCTCACCTGACACCTTTGAAGTTACTATGATTTAAAATGTTGGTATTTATAGCATATTCAGTGCATCACACACTTATGAACTTTGCAATAATATACCACAACAGTAGAAAAAAGATTATTACAATGTACATTCCTGGAAGCCTCACTGATCCTGTTGGCAGACAACCAGTTTCTAATGAAACTTTTTCCCTATTATTAGAGCCAAACTAGGACAGAGGGTATAAGTTGATACGTGAATAAAGCAAAACACGTGTCCGTATTTCCAAGAATGCATCTATTCTATAAAGCAAGATAAACCTGCAGAGCCCAACAGATGGTCCCACGGCACCATCTCAGCCTCTCCTACCAGTGACTGTGAATTATTTATGGAGTGTCTTGTTTGTTCTCAAGAATATGCTAGAAGTTACAAGTGAAGCTTTCATTTTGTTCACATGGCCATATTTAGAATCCACAGACTCCTGTAGTAGCTTTCAATGACTATGGTTTAAAAACATTATCTTTCAGTTTTTTATAGAACTAAAATAGTAATTATATAACTAAGCACAGTTCCTTGACAAAATATATCATCTCGTTATAAGTAGTACCAGGGGGACTTCTGGCACTTGGGCACTTTAAGAATCATTAACAATTCTCTAGCCACTAAGCTTTCACCAGGCTTACCTCCGGGATGCAGTCATCATGCGTCACCACCCTCACTATGTCGTCCAGGGGCAGGAGGGAATTGCACTTGATCTCAGTGTAGACGTTTTTCCCCTCGGTGCAGGCTGCCAGCAACTCCACCAGGGTGATGTGGTAGGCTAAGGGGCCACTCTCATCCCCTCGGTCTCTCTCTGAACACATCATTTGGAGAAGGATGGGGAACGAGGCTCTGTCGTTGTAAAATACCAGCACATCTTCACCTCCATTTATCAACTGAAATGATAACAAGCAAGTCTACAGAGCAGCCCAGATACTCATCCTTGCCATTATAGCCAAAGGCCTGTTCCATCTTGGAGACATGTATTTCTTCGCAAAAACACAGATAACATTGCAAAGGCAGAACGATACCAAGGCAGGATGGTATCTAGTCAGGTGCCAAGTGATTAGTTCTGAACACTACCAAAACCAGCAGGGGAGATACAGGGTGGCGGACGGGGGCAAGAAGGAAATGACATGGATGATAGTAAATTGTTCATCAGTGAGTCACCCACTGAAATCAAACCTGCAAAGTAGTCAAATACACTTACTTCCCTCTACTGCAAATGAAAGACTCCACTGCCAAAGCATAAGAAATCTCAAAAGTGTAAATGCAATAAAGCAGAATAAAATATCCTCATCTTCTTCACTAGTAACAGAATAAGGAAGTACATTGAGCCAAATGGAACTCTGGAATAATCTGGAAATTACATGTGTTGTGAGCATCAATAAAGAATGTATGTAAAGGCAGAGATAGGAGAAATAAAGATAAAAGGAAGACTTTAATAAGAGAAAGAGGAAGAAGAAGAGAGAAGACAGACAAACTTTTAGGACATAAATTTTCCTTCGTATTTTGTTTATATAATTTTAATGGAAAATTCCACTCGGTGGTAATTTTATTGCCCCAAATCCACAATGTCTTATTGCCTCTCTATTATAAGTACCAATTTTCTAACCCCATCATGAGATATTTAGGTGGGTAACACAGCTTATATAATTTTTGTTTTATTTAAATTGGTAAGAATTAGTTGGCTTACTTTGAAAGTTTTGTTGAAAGAGAACGTGTCTGTGTCAAAATATGTGTTATATTTTCACACAATATGAGGTACAAACACTTCTTTATACATAGAAACACTTTCCTTTCTAAGTGTCATAAATTGGCTTAAATATTTGCTGCTTTCCAATTCTAATTCTTTCCTTGATAATCACAATACAAAATTATATTAGTTCCCACACACTTCTAGGCAAAGAAGAACTAATACAAATGTAAATGTAAATATGAAAAAGGTAAATCTCACAAGTTAAAATGTCCCTTGAATGCTTAATAACAAAAATTTACATTAGCAAATTAAGAGGAAGGGTTGTCGGGAACATGTATAAAAGACAAATGGACAAAACCAAAGAGGGTAGAATGGAGCAGGGAAGTGGGGATGGCTGGGATGGGGGCAGTGCTGGGGAAGAAAATGGAGACAATTGTGCTTGAACAACATGAAAAAAATTCAAAGCTTGAGATTTCTGTGGCACAGAAGGGACTCATATTGCATCAATATAGAAATCACCCTCCTTCCCAAAATTAAATATGTAATTTTGTGCAAATTCCCCCAAACAAGATAATCTACTACATAACTGTTTGGTACCCATGGTTGAAAGCTGTTCTAATCCATACAGACCTTCAGAAAACCATTAGGTCACAGGGCAATGATTTACCCAACTGGGCTCAAAAACCTGTCAGTTCTCCAACAACTCAATGCATAAAGCTCACTCAATTTCAAACATCACAATGAAAATGGAAAAATATACTAAGTACTCCATTCACTTGTTTTTCTTAAACACTTATACTCAATAGCTAAGTGTATGTACACATGTAATAAATCACTGATGAATAATTTCTATTAATTAAATTGCCTTCAAAGCCCTCTGCAAATATCAGCAGAGAACTCCCATTCTAGATTTCATGAACATAGTAATAAAGGTACTGGAAAAGCAGAGCTTAATCCATTTCTATAATACATTAAAAGCTTAAAAATATAAAAGTTTGTCACTTTCATTCTAAATAATCTATAACATTCTGTAGGATTTTACCTATTATTTAAAATATGTAGGTTCATTAAGGAAAAGAAAAGCTCTTGATGAATTATAAAATCAACTTATGTAACTTCATTTAACCAACACATCTTTGCACTTAAGTCATCATGATTCAATTACTTTCCAAACCGATGTTGTTGGGTTTTTTTCTCACTCTAAATTAACAGACAACACCTGTTTCAGCATATTGTTTGTGTGAAGCTGATCAAATGCAAACCAAGAACATACCTCTGTCATTACCATATCCTGGCATTTCTTCACATATTTACCATCTGCTTTTACAATCGTTTGCAAAAACCGCAGGTACTCCACGTGGCGGCCGTGAGTCTCGATGCAGTGCACAAAATGCTGCACTGCTCTCTCACTGATTTCATTGCACAGATGGTAATTGTTCATGAAGATGTGTCGCATGGTCTCTGCTTCCAGGAGCTACACGGAGAGGAATGTGCCCTTGTAATTCTGACAGGATCAATTTTCTGTTCTACGGGACTTAGAACAACACCCCTGCTTGTGATCAGTTCTATACTCTATGCAAAGCCATAGTGAGTTTCCTGTGCAAGCCGTCCACAAAATGCAATGAGATCATTCACCACTAAAAGAAAACTAAGCTCACAAAGGATCTGAGTTGGAAAAGGGAGCCTATTAACACACAGATCAACAGTGAGCAACAGTGTTCTTGAGAATAATTTAATTATCTATTATTCAAAGTCAGCTCTTCCCTAGTATCAGCTGACCCTAGGATCAGTATTTTACTGTTTTGAACTCTACCTTTGAGTCTTTCATATGTATCTTACTGCTGGCATTGTCATGTTCTTTCTTTTCCCTAACATGAAACTACACACACACACAAACATAAATGAAGTCTTCATTTTCAGGTAAAATGTATGATTTTTCAAGTTTCTTTAAGTGTCTCCTTAATGGAAATGAAAGATATTCACTTTTGGGAAGAGAACCCCTACAAGGGAAAAAGAATGAGGTGATGAAAATTAATAAAACTCTATTTGCGAGGGCTGCTAAAACAAATCTGATGGATACTTTACTGTAAATATGAGAAGACACTAAAGTACTTACACCAGGAGTTAAAAACAAATTCAGATGTTTATGAAGGAGAGCTTGATTCTGTGGATTGCCCCTACAGAAATTCTGCAGAAATGTATGGGCCAGATTCATCACTTCATTCATCTTTTCATCATTCTGGAAGTCAGAGAGGGTACATGAGAGAGAAGCCAACACACCGTGGCAAAAACAGTCTCAGAAACAAGTTCCTCCGCATACCCACGTTTCGTCTCTGCTGCTCTTTTATGCTCCATGTTCTCTGTGCCTTTTTGGTTTCTATATCTGTCCTGGGGGTAACGCCCACCAGACACCCCTCCCCCCATTTCCTAGATGTTTCTCTCTTCTCTGTTTCTCCTCCCACCTTCAGCTGTGCTCCACTCTTTCAGACACCTCTTTACTTCAGAGACGACCCCCCTTTCTCCCCAGCCTTCCTGCTTGTCCACAGCTGCCCCTTTCTCCTGCCTCCTCCACACCCCTCTCTCTCTCTCTCTCTCTGCACCCCTCCTCTGTCCTCCCTCCCTCTCTGTCTAGCCCCGGCTTTCTCTCTGGTTCTCCCTTCTCTGCCACACCCTCCAACCTTCCTCTTTCTTGGGCTTTCCCTCTTTCCCAGTGTTTCTATGTACCAGGATCCCTCTGGATTTTTGTCTGGTTGGTTGGTTTCTCCTCTGTCCCCACCTTCTATACCCCCCCTTCTCCCTCAGCGGTCTCCCTTTCCACTGCTTTCCCCACCACCTCTCATCCCTCCTCCTGCTTCTGCCCCTGCCCTGCTCTGCCTTCTTTCTTCTCTCTACTCTTCCTTCCTCTATACCCTCAACGCTCTAAATCTCTCTCTGCGTATTTCTGCCGTTATCTCCTTTCTCTCCTCGCCCCTCCACTCTCTGCCCCTCCTTCTGCTATTTTGCTTTGTCTCTTATTTCCACCTCTTTCTTTTCTTTTTCTCTTTGCTTTCTCCCGTACTATTTTGCTCTCTCTCTTTTTGTCCCCTTTTCTGAACACACATGTATTTATTTACTTATTTATTTAGTGCATTTCTATTTTTATTTTTCAATTACAGTTTACTTTTGGTATAATTCTATCACAATTGGTTTCAAGTGTACAGCATAGTGGTTAGACAATCATCTACATTACAAAGTGTTCCACCTAATATTTCTGGTACCCACCTGGCCCCATGCATACTTATCACAGTAGTTCTCTGCTCCCTACGCTGCACTTTACATCCCATGACTGTTCGGTAACCACCCATCTGCATTTCTCAATCCCTCCACCTCTCTCACTGGGCCCCCATCCCCCTCCCCTCTGGCAACCACCACTCTCTGCTCTGGTTAGTGCACTTCTGCTCAAGGTTGTTTTCCTTATTCCCGGCCATTTCCCAAAGTCCCGGAACACTATTATTTGCTTAGAGGACTCTCATTAAGAAACTTAAGTCTCAAAATTTACAAAGGCTGCAAAGTTCTCTTCTTAAAAGTGGTCTTTTGCCCTGGCTGGTGTAGCTCAGTGGATTGAGCATGGACCTAGGAAGCAAAGGGTTGCCGGTTCGATTCCCAGTCAAGGCACATACATGGGTTGTAGGCCAGGTCCCCAGTAGGGGACACATGAGAGGCAACCACACGTTGATGTTTCTCTCCCATTCTTTCTCATTCCCTTCCCCTCTCTTTAAAAATAAAAATATTTTTTTAAATGGCCTTTTAACAATACCACTGAAACCACCTAAAGTTTTTCCTAATCTAAGAGTCTACAGCACATGTCATCTACGATAAAACAATCAGCCTGAGATCCTTAATAGGCGCATTTCCTCACATTTAAAATGGGATGAATTAACAAGACATATAATAAATAAGCCCAGAAACTCCCTCCTAGTTTTAAAATACAAAACTTTCATTTTAAATTCTACTAACACTTCCTTTACTTGTATAGTCCAAGAATAGTTAAAAGACATAAAAGGAACTTCCGCCACAGGAATATCCAATTCCCCTTGAAGAGCTGGACAGGACAGAACACCAGGGTCAGTGCTATTATATCTGATATTTCTTTGAAACTCTTATACTTTCTTTTTGCTTCTGAACATTTCAGTTATTAAACCTGAGCAAACCTATAACACGAAGTCAGAGTAAAATGCTCAGTGTTACTCGTATTATTAAAAGAAGGGACTTGATCATATGTCCAAAGCCCATGTTGCAAAATCAAAGATAAAATAATTTGGATAATAAATGTGGAGGATGTATAGCTTTTGTTGCCTTTCAAGAATGCTTTTATTGCATTCTCTGCCACAGTATGAGTTATTCCACTGAAGGAATGGAAGAATTTATACATTTACATACTAAATGTCACTAAGGGGGTGGGGCAATGCAGTAGGAAGAACAAAAGTCCAAGCAGGAGAGTTCTACACTGAAGGAGTCCCAGCATGGCACGTGTGCCCAAGAGAGACACCAAGGGCACCAGCCAGTAGGTGCCAGAGCCTGAATGAGGTGCAGAAAGCATTCACGTGGAAGAGTAAGCAGCACTAGTGATGATAGGTTAGCTATTACCAAGTGTGTATCAACGAGTAACTATAGTAACACACACACGTATTCCCTAGCTTTGTATATTTAGAGGTTCTGCAGGGGCAAAGCCCCTGTAGCAATAAGTACACTTAGTTCTCAAAACTTTGCTTGTAAATAACTTTCTCCTTCAACAGAACTGGGGCTACCTAAAGAAATGGCTCATTCCAGAGTGGAAGCAAGAAGAATGCAAGGCGATCCTACAATATTTTCATGTGCAGAAGAGCAAAGAATGATGGGGACATTTTACAGGACAGAGTCACTAGCTTAAAGGGGCTCTCTTGGCCAAATCTGTAGTGACCTGAAAATCCAAATAAATAATAATAGAGAACTAGTATAACCTATTGAGTAAAATGAGCACCTACAAGTCCACTCTGGTAAAAGTAAGTAAGTGAATAAACTGAAAGTTTGATTTAAAAATGGGCTATTTACCTAGTTTCAAAGAAACTATCCACAAAATACTTATTAATTACAAAGGAACAAGAGGTACTTGACAGTGGGGAATCCTGGCAGACACCATCAAGTGAGGAAGTGAACACCATCAGCAATGGAACAAACTGAATTCATGTGCCACCTGACAGGAAGTGGAGGGAAGAACTTAGTGCCACCTCTGTTAAGTTCCTGCCAAGACGCATAACTGAATCAAATCACAAGGATACATCAGATGACCAAAAAGAAGGGATAGTCTTAGCCCTAGTTGGTGCAACTCAGTGGATTGAGTGCGGGCCTGTGAACCAAACAACCACAGTTCGATTCCCAATCAGGGCACATGCCTGGGTTGCAGGCCAGATCCCAGCAGGGGATGCACAAGAGACAACCATACATTGATGTTTCTCTCCCTCTCTCCTTCCCTTCCCCTCTAAAGATAAATAAAGTAAAATCTTAAAAAAAAAAAAAAGAAGAAGAAGAAGAGACAATCTTCCAAAGAGCTTCTCTGTCTTCAAAAGCGTCAAGGTCATAAAAGTTCCAACATAAGGAGATTAAAATGGACGTGACAACCAAAGAGCACCTGTTTCCAAAGTGGACCTTTCTGTCAAACAGGACACAGCTGGGATAATGGGGGTCAGGTGAGTAGCTTGTGAGGATCAGGTGGCAGTAAAGAGTCACACTCTTTCCCCATGTGGATGGCGCTCACGTGGTTATGGAGAAGAGCATCCTTGTTTGCAGAAAACACACATTAAAGGGCCACAGGGTGACAGGGAATCAGATCGGTGGCGAAATTTCAAACAGTTCAAGGGAAAAACTCATTGTAACTTTATGTCAAAAAATTGCATCAGAATATAAAAAATCAAAGGAAGGATGTAGCTAAGAACTAACCTTTTCATAGGGTATCTGCAGAAGGTCCAACACCACCGAATGAGCGCCCATATTTTTCAGTAACCGCTGATGTTGATTCCGGCTTTTCTTATTCTGTATGCAGAGTTTACTTAGCCTAATCAAAATCTTTTAAAAGAAGAGCAGTGAATATAACCAACCTAATATTAAATATAGTTTTTGCACAAAAATTCTTGGCCATGCAAACATAAACCCACGTAAAAATATTTTACTTCTGCTGACCTCCTTTACGATGCGGTAGTTATTGCTCTTGTTGCTGTCGATCTGAGGGATCTTCGTTCCATCCTGCACGGGACTTAAGATGTTCGATTCCTGAAATAAACACAAATATATATTTTTATGCCATATACAGCACTGTAACAAATTTACTTCTTTTTAATAAATAATAACTATATTTTGTAATAATTTTGTAAGAATGTATTATTCAATTAAATGTTTCCTTTGTACTTTTTTTACCCAATAAAAAGTTCCTTGGCTTACACGAGCCATGCAAATTACCATGTCCCAACAACAACCAAATTGCAAGGTAAATGGCATAACTGATAACTGAGTTAAGTGAAAATGAAAAAGATAACACAACATTATTAGTGTATTTCTTTATGCTAAATTTACCAGACATATCACACCTTTATATTGCCTATAGGAGAAGAAATAGTAAAAATTCAGGGCATAAAAAATATAATTATATCATCAGGGATGAACTTCATGGGGAAAAAAAAGAATAAGGGCGAACTGAATGGCAATGGAAAGCATTTCGGGAGCGGGAGGGAAGAACACCTTCGCCCGGAGTTCACCGGCAGGTCACCATGACATCCATACCGGGTCATGACACAGAGCCAACCAAGCACATACCAAACCACACAAGCCAAGAAAGGAAAATAACATTTAAAGTAAAATCATATTTTAAATTACTAAATTAATACAGTTTATTAAAAGGACCTGGAACACCAAAAATATTCCATTTTAGCAACCACTATCGGTAGCATGAAACAAAAATATATATAGCATATAGATTTTAAATATCAACTATTGGAATCACCATCAGAAAATAAAACACCAGTTACAAACAGTTTAATACATAAACATTTATTAACACTTAGTCTCTGCCTGGTATTAGACAAGGTGAATGGGTGGAAAAGAAATATAAGACATTGTCCTTCCCATAAGAAAACCACAGGCTACTTAAGAGAGCAGGGAGAAATATAAAAATAAAGATTTGAACTGGACGGAATTCACTATTTGGAGAGAGAGAGGGAAACTAGCTATAGTTTTAGACAGCTTTATGAGGGAGGTCAAGTTGGAGACAAGGTCTTGAAAGATGAAAATCAGTTAAGTATGAGAGACTTGCAGGAGAGCAGGGGACACTGGTCAGGTGAAGAAGTCACCTTAGCCAACGGCACTGCAGAAAGAACAAACAGAGCCAGAGCGCGGACGGTAGCAAGAACTGACAGCGCATGTTGCAAGAAAGTGGGCAATTAGGTGAAGTGGGGCTGATTTAGTTCCCTGATGTACAAAGTGTAAAATACTGCACTTGGGATAAATGTCAAGTTCAACTTGAGTCCAAAAAAAAAGACAAAACACACCTACACTAATGGTTTTGGGATCTCTCAGTTAAAGGCAACCCCAATCTAAGCTCAGAAAAAAACAACAAAAATATACAAAGCCAATAGATGTGATTTCATTTGTACCAAACTGTTGTTTTTATCATGTTCCACAACAAATCACAAAATTAATGCAAACAAGAAACAAAGGAAAAACTTCCCTCACTAGTCAAAGACTTTTGATGAAATACTGCAGGCCGGGGGACTCGATCGATCGATGTGAGGCTTCACCACTCCTCGGTAAGTTTTGTATTCCTTTTGTGCTTCTCCCAGGCAAATGTGGCCCAAGACGGAGGCTCCCCATCTAAACTCTCCCTTAGCAGCTAACCACTTCTCCCATTTTACTGAGCATATGGAAATTCCCTTATACGACCTTTCCTCTTTCCATCTGAAAACACCCAGTGCCCTCCACAAACCCGTCTACCCTCCCTGCGGTGCCTCAGAGAGAAAGAACTTTTTGATGCATGGATTTTGAAAATGCCATCTTTCCTGCCTCTGCTACCTGCCACCTTCCTGTTTTTCGTGCACAGGTAGCTTCTACCCTCTACTGATTCTTTCTCATCTCTTTAAAAATACAGCAAGTTGAGGCTAGCCAAGCACTTTCAGGGATCCTGCCCATTCGGGGAAGTAGTCTCACACCTCAGATTATTGTCCCCATTAAATTTCTCGAAAGAATAATCCATAACATGCTGTGCTGAAAGTGCTTGATGTGCCAATGACTATAATGACCAAAACTTTCTTTACCATTTGATGCTGTGGTTGACTTCCCTTTTCTTTACACCCCACTGTTTGTTTTCTTGTGACATGATACTCTTCAAGGTTGCCTGCTACCTTTCTGACCACCTGTCTCTTTCACTCAACAAAATTAGAACCGCAAAAAGTAAAGTATATGAACATCGGCAGCATTCACCACACGACTGTTAGATTCCAGGGCTGTGTCATCTACCTCTCCAGACAAATTCTAGGAGGAAAATGGGAGCGGTCGGACACGACCCCAGGTAAATGAAAGAGAAAAAATGCAAGACACTGTCTGCAAGACAATAAATACCAAGTGAATCCTCAAGCACTGTAGAAGAAAATGAAAAACTGTATCCGTAAGTAAAGCCAGTGCGGAGGAGGGAAGGGGTCCAAGTGCTCATATTAATGGAAACTATTCAGATGGAAAGAGACTGGCGGTCAAAGAACGAGACAAATAATTTGATAGCAAAAATAATATAAGTAGAAATTGCAAAATCTAGGAATATAATTAAATTTCCCTTTCTGATCACAAAAGTGGAGGTAGAATCTTAAAAAAAGACAATATTCATTTCTTTTCTGGAAGAAAAGAAATATTAAAGAAAACCAGCTTTGTACTACAAAGCAGGATTAGGGTGTTACCAAGTCCAAAGACTGACAAAGTTCCTAAGGTAGAAAGCAGATCTTTCTGATATATGTCAACTTTTTAAAAAATCAGTTAAAAATAAAGGCAAGCCTTTGGCAGATATATTCAAGTCTATTTTTTAAACAATGACCTGAAGAAAAAGCAACTGACTTGTTTTAAGAAACGTAATCTCAGGCAAAACCTACTGCATTGCAAAATGCCCTTTAGTTCAGCCCAGGGGAAGATACAGACAATGCTAACCTCTGTAAGTATAGAAATTATGAAGAATAGTTATTTTAATTTAAAATTGCCAGCAGTCAACAAAAGAAGACAACACTGGAGAATTCAATAAATAGCCCCTTCTCACTTCAGAACATGATTCAATGTAATTACACTGAACAAAAATATGCGCCCATAGGACATCTGGATGATTCCAAAGCACTCGTTAGGGGAATTTAAGAAATATGTTAACTATATTGTTATAGCTCTGTTTATGTTTTCTTATTTTGATGCCAAAATACTCCAAGTGGAAGGTGTTTCAAAAGTTTTCCTCCAGAAAGGGCAGAAAATGATTGTGTTTTTAATATCCTATGCAACTTTAGTCCTAGGTCAATGGTCAAATCCATAAAACCCTGGCTCTATTTTAATGACAAAATACTAGTAACAGGAAAATGTCAAAGTGTAACTTATTCAAAGTTCTGAAGCTGAGTAGCCTCCAAAAAAAAATGTGTAACCCTAACTAAGAACAGCAGCATGCTTATAATGGACATCCTTTGACAACACTGATGAAGAATAAAGATGGCACTCCAAAAGTCCTTGCACTTTATTGTAATTGCTTTCTATCTGCAAGAATTTAAATTTATTTCCTCTAATGGAATATGGGGAACCGCTTAGTTAAGTGATTTTAGAAAGGCAGCTAAAATTTTAATTGCATAGTAGATATTGTAACATAAAGTAGTAGGTTCAGAAATAATATAGCAACAATAGTCTAGAAGGATCTAGAAATTTCTAGAAGAGTCTAGTACTTGGAAGGACAGCAGGACTCTAGGTAGAGACTCAAAGAATGAATACCTAAACAAATACTGAATCTGATTACAGCTCCCCTCCAAAATTTATTTTGCATTAGGCAAGGACACTCTTTTATATCGAAAGCAAAACAATACAAGACAATGACAATGTATGAACTATAGAGTCAACTAAACATTGGCACCAATTAATGGGGATCCACCTCCTTTGTTTAAACAAAGGAAATCATGCTATTAAAAAAGAACTTACCAAATCCTACAATGCAGAGCTGCCGTATCTGCAGTTGCATGATTAAAATCGCTCAATGCATGCCTTCTCTTTGTCCCCACCCCACTGAAGTTAAAGCATGTCCTTCCTCGGCAAGACTGCAAAGCATTTTTCTCACCATCTGTATCCTTACTCAGCCTTCTCTTTCTGTAACCACTCTCCACCTAAATGGCATCATTCACCCATCACCCTCCTCCCAACTTCAGATGTGAAAAATCTCCCCTTTCCCTTCCCACCTCCCTCCAAAACATAATAAATGTCACCTCCTTCAGACAACTGAATGATAACCTTACTGTGGGATGATGAGGTATTTTTTTTCCTGCTATCTAAGAGTAACATCACATACCAGTCATTTAGGAAGACATCTTAGGGGTTGCAGAATCCCCCAAATCGCCCTCGATCTACTTATCTGATCTTGCATATAAAGCTAAGTTGGACCATCATGGGTCATGGCTGACAGTTTCTATTTGCTTTGGTGCTGCCTGGCACTGAAGGATGCTTGAGGACAGGGCCCAAGGTCTCTAGCCCAACAAAGAGCACTAGCGTCCTAGTGCTGTGCCCACCAATACTGGTGGACCACCTCCCTCCAGACTTTGCTCAGCTCAAGACCAAATCCCTTTCCTCCCAGAGGGTAAATGCGTAGCCCTAACCTCACCCCAAACCTACTTTCCTTTCCCTTTGTCCCGAGACAAGTATAATATTGCTATTTTTCTGACTCAATTAATGTCATGTGAATTAGTATTTGATAATGATTAATCTGATGTCCTAGGAAACACCCAAAAGCCTTGGCTATCTGTATGTCTGATAAGTACAGTAACAACAAAGGAAGTGCTACTCAAGTGCACTCTCCTTGCTCGGAGAGATAGAGGGGAAAACAGGCAATACACCGATGATGGGTATTGTCAGTGTAAATGAACAGCTGTTTTTGTAGGAATGCAACAGACGCCCGTTATAATACAGCCATGTGTAATACTTTTTATACAATACTTTTCATAATATTCATATAGTATAATGTAGAACATGTCTTTACGTAACCCTTGCCACGACTACATAAAATG